CATCTCTTCATCTTGTGTTGTCTTTTCGATATTTTAATTAGACCTCTTCACCCTTTCGTGTGATATCTGTGTTTTTGTTGCCAAATCCAATTCAAAACATAAGCAAAGGAAAACGTTTAGAAAAAAAAAATGTCAAGAAAATACTTAAAAATCTGATATAGATGAAGGAAGTCATGATCAACATTTGGGACCTAATAATTAATCGCCTAATTAACTGGTGTGAAACTTGCTTAAAAGTTAAAACTCAAACAAGTTTAATAGATTCCATTAGGGATATGGTGCAATGATGACATTTCTTTTTACATGGCAATCCACGCCTTTGTCTTTTTTATCTGCTTTCTTTCATAGCTGGACGCTATCTTGTTTACCGATCGCTTTATAGTTTATACTGAGCATCCATTCAAATCACTCATTCAATTTGGTACAAATTATTTTGTTAACACGTACTCACTTCAAATTAACATTTATAAAATATTTCATGATTTAACAATGAAACCTTGTATTTTTTTTTTAATTGTATACAATATAAACAAGACCAGCATGTGTTTAAGAATTGAATATTAAGTGCATGTTCGAAAACTCATTTTTTATGCATTTGGAGTTTCTGTGATATAGTATAATCAAGTAACATAAACCGAATGGATGTAAAACAACGGAAGAAATATTATTTATGATTTTATATCTGTAATATTTCCATCATGCATTGTTCTTTAATTTTTAAATCTCGCACAAATTCCTTTTATTTAAATCCAATACTGATGCATAATGAAATATTTCTTATTTTGCGTGAGCACCCAATATCCTGGGACAGGCCATCTTTCAACTACGTCAATGGCCCCAGATTAATTTATAGAACCATTAAGGTTGGCAGTGCTGCATACCCACGTCTTGATCTCAAGACTTGTGGTCAAGTTAAAACAACCCTAATCAGCTGATCTAACCCCGATTAATGAAATATTTCTTTTAGACCCTTAGTTGCTAACGTTTGATGATAAATTATTAACTAATAATTGCTAAGGGTTAAAATAGGTGTCTTTAAAGGGATCCTGGACAAGATAGAAGAACTGTTCGGAGGTAAATTCTTTTCAAAAGAAGAAGAAGAAGAAGAAGAGACAAGCATGCCTATTCTCTAGAGTATTTGAACTTTACCGAAATATATAGAAAAATATCAAAGGAATAAAAAAAGACTGTACGAAATATAATGAGATGCCTGGACAAAAAAAATTCAAACAAGTGGACAAGATTATATAGATCCAGTGATAATTTATACTTATTAAATTACAGGTCACGGTTCATCTTATTGTCATATTAAAGGAAAACAGACATCAAAGCTTGAAAGGTCGTGTCATGTTCGAATTCCATAGATAAGGAAAAGGCGATGCTTAGAGCTCGATTATCACTCATTTTTTACTGGCATAATGACAAACGACAAGATTAGGAATGAAGCATTTTTATCCGCTCAAGGACTCTCCTTTTCAAATTATAAAATATTTTTTAAAAAAATTTAATAATTTAAAATATAAAATATTTTAATAAAAATAAAATTTTATTAATGATACTTTTTTAATATAACCCTTATTATATATTTTTTTCTTAACATTCTTTTATTAATAGAATATTAAATTAACAATGTTTTTGAAAGTTTATATTTTAATCTGAAAAAGTAAGATTGTAAAGTATATTTAATAAACTTTATTGATATGTAAAATTTTATTTAAAAGTATCTTATAATTTAAGACAAGAGAATACTACTTATCAAGACAATTTTATTATTTTAATAAAAATATTTAAAATCAATTCAAACCAATTACATTAAATTAAATTATCAAAATTAATTATAAGTAAAGTTTGGTTTGGTTCATATTTTTACTTTGAAAAATTTGAATCAAACCGAAGTAAGTCTTATTGTATTTATTATATTTATTTATATAAATTTTTTTAAGTTTTCTTCCCGTTTTTAAGTTTAGTTATTCGTAAATTATTATTAAAAATATATTATAATTAGCTAAATGTTATTTATAATTATTTATGATAATTTTTTACTTTTATAATCAACGTTTTAGAAATAATATATTAATTTTTAATTGTGAAATATGCTTAAAAATATTTTTTGTGCTCAAAAGATTTTTTTTTTCATTTCAAATAATAATTAATAGCTAGAAATTACCGGGGAGCATGAATGCATGTGGATGACTATGAAGAATATCTCACAAAAAATTTAAACTTGATTTAAATCTAAATCAACCTAGATCAAGCTGCTTAGAAATCAAACCAAACTAATTCAAAGAGAAAGCCAATTAGATTCCAAACTATAATGAATCAATTGGCTTGGATCGGCTTATTTTAAAAAAAAATTATTGAACCAAACTAAGCCCATGGACATCCTTTATTTTAACTAACTCACATTGTTTTAGTGATTTAATTATAAGTAATTTATAAAATGGATTGAAGAGTGTATTACTCTTGATTTTTTAATTTAAAATAACTTATAAATTACAAATATTTATGGTAATGAAACTCAACTCAAATTAGTTGGTTTGATCAGTAAACTAGTGAACTGGTTTTATACATGGTTCGGCCTATTAATCCATAGATTGCTACCTGGATCATTTCAATGAATAGTCTGATTTCAGTACCTTGCAAATATCTTTTCAAATATCTAAAGTTCATCGTTAATTGAGTCTCGAGATTCCCGAATTGAAATAAAATATCTACGATTCCTATGATTGACGTGGAAAAAAAAAATCTATATATGCCACTAAAAAGTTTAAATTTTCTTAATTAGAAGTTTTTGTATTTCTCTTTAAAGTAGTAGGCATTAGCAAGTTCTCATTGGAATCATTCGAGGTCAAATTAATTAACTGTTGCAGCCCATGGAAGCATTCTTTATGGGGTTGTGTGTGCTTATTTTATTAAAAAGGCAATTATGAACTCTTCCTTTAGGTTTTCTTATTTAAAATAAAAACATAAAATTGATTACTGGGTGTATTCAGATAAGATAAGAACGTCAAGGAACAATTTAATATCGATTATTTTAATACTAAATATGGCGTTTGGAGATCCATGATGGAAAAGTATTGGTTAATTACTTATAATTCAGAGAGGATAAGTACAGCCAAAACAGAAAATATTTTTCCCAATTCTTTCTGTCCACCTGGCAGCATATCTGCGGAACAAGCTTACGCAGGAGAAAGCAACACAGGCGAGGGATGTGAGATTTTTAGCATTTGTTTCGTATTTATTGGCGATATGATTAATTAGGAGAGGTGTGTAGGCCAACGAACCTTAAATCGAATCTCCATCAAGTCTAATACTAATTGTTAATTGGGACATGCCATTCCATTATGTACTCACCACGCGCCTTTATTGCTGGACATGTCATGTTTTTTTCTTATAATTAAATATGATTAATTAAACCCGACACCGCAAAGGAACGTCAGGTGGGCAGGTCTATTTCCACTCACATAGCTTAGTGAGTAATTACAGTGTTGTTCATGAACAAGTGCATGTTTCACGGTGTTGGCGGATTTGATTTTGGGCGAAGTCATGTCAAAATAATTTTATGGAAAATTGTAAAGTCAGTTTTGTAACAGATTAAAAAACATGCCCTTATTTTTCATGCTTAATATTAAATAAATATAAAATTTATTAAAAAAGTTATTCTTTTGAGCTCCACGTGACACTTTTGTTTTTTATTTTTATTCCATCAACTGATTTTTTTAAAAACCTTGGGTATATATCAATGCCTTTTCAAATTAATTCGAACCCATCCCGCATAAGACCGGTCTTTCAAATCACTTTTCAGGGATTTTTTCAGTATTTTTATTTAATGCATTTGCATATTTAACAATTCGAACCAAAACCTAAAAATAAGGTAATTCAACTGTTTTTCATGAGTAGAACCAAGCATCGATCACTTTCTCTTTAACATTCTTCTTACAATACAATGGCCTCTTTGCAACTCTATTTTTTTATGATGAAAAATAATTATATAACGTTTAGATGATTATTTCTGGCCCACATCTAAGAAATATCTAGTAAACCATGGTGTTTCCCCTACGTGTAACTAGATCACATGTTTTCACCGACTTGCTGACAGTGACAATTCTCTCTTGCTCGCTTAAAACGAATTACAACAACGGTTTCTTTCACTAGTTCTTTATAAACTCCCTTAAAATTAGAGAAATAGTACAATATTTTTTTACACATACCTTAAATCATTAATATGGCAATAGAATTTACAAATACTGGAGCAACTCATGTTTTGTTATATTTAGAAACACATAGGGTGGGCAAAAATGAAACGAGGAGCCACAAGGGCCGCAAGCTATAAGCCAGCCAGGAAGGCAGCTGATGCAGCCCTTTGTCAAAACGCTCACCAGCACGCAATTAATGAACCTCCCCACATTAGCACAACAAAACCCAAATCACAACCCTCTATCGTTGTGACTCATTTCACTGATGCTCATTTTATAATTAGACTCTGGCCTTGTACCAGCATAGAAAATGAGTGTATATTGTTGGAGATGAATGAAATGAATAACTTCCTTCTATAAATTTTATTTATGGTGTTGTTTTAATTATGCTCATGTGGGCAGATATTTATGAAGAGGGGGATGGTTGAAAGGAGTGAATGAATGGATGGTGGTAAAGGCAAAAGGAAAAACAGCAGCTGGCATCAAGTTGGTGCTTTAAAGTAAAATCAAATCAGAAATCAGAATCTGACTCCGTTTCTTCTCATGGGAAAAGAAAAGCACACGAGAGACAGTCTTCTCCTCCACTTGCCTTCAACGAAATCCCTAAGTAACATAACATTTGAGTGTATTCGCGTGAGTACCCCGCTGGTCCCTTCCCTCCCTCTCCCTCTCACAGACCAGTCACTCCCAAACGTCCATTTCATTTTCCTTTTCAGACATGAAAATTCTGGAAAATTTGGAGCTATTTTTGTGCTTCCAACAATTCACAAGCCATAACCTGTTAAATTCATCGATAAATAAAAATTTGAACGCCGAAAACAGAATATATAATCAATCAATCAGATTGAGAACATAAATCCTCCGCCTCCACACTCATAATAGGCAAATCAATGTTACAATCCCAGAAACATAAACTTTCCTGGCTACATTCCTCCAGAACCAGAACGCACACCACTTTATAACTAATTTCTACACGACGCAGAGCGCCGACGGCAAACGAGCTGTTTTCACCCTGTATTAATTTCCCCAACGGCGATGAACGGCGGCGAGTGTTGCATCAATGAAAGTTGAGCTAACAGTCAACAGGGATTTTCGCAGGAATTGAGAAGCTGAGGGTCCAGCTTGGCTCTACAAACCGGGCAGAGAGGGTGCTTGGAAAGCCAGGCATCGGCGCATTCCACATGGAACCCGTGGTTGCAACCCGGAACCATCCGAGCCGGTTGGTCGTTCTCGATCTCGTCGAGACACACCGCGCAATCACTCCCCATCATCAGTTCCTTCCCGGTGACCTTGGGCATCTTCTCCAGCTCTGACGCCGACAAGCCCTTCTCCGGCGCGGGCTTGGACGGCAATACGACCTGCGGGCGGTGGGTGGTGGCGTACCAGAGAAGGCACATATAGACCATGAAGACGGCGCTCATGCCAAGGCAGGGCAAGAAGAGTGCCAGGAGAACGGAATCGATCATTCTGGCGCGTGGGATGTTCCGATTGGGGCAGAGGAATAGAGGAGCGAGAGGCCAATTAATGTGGCGGCGGTTGGTAGAGAAGCGAAGGGGAAGGAGATGGGCCGTGACCACAGATGCAAACCATAGCGACTTATGGTTATGAATGAAGCCAAAAAAAAACTTACAGAGAAATATGGTGTATGAATACCAGAGAGAGTTTGATTCAGACGGTGACGTGGAGGGGTTTCGTGAGCAACGGCTAAGTCGGGAAGGCGAGAGAACAAGGGCTAGGCTGTTTGGCTTTTATCTTTTTGTTGCGAATACAAGCCCCCTTCCTTCTATGCGCTTTTCTAATCGTTTGAAAGGGAGACGTGTTTCGTATCTCGCAAGGACAAGTCTTCAAGCGCAAGTTTACAGTGCATAATTTGTTGTTAAATACTTGAATGTTAAATTGCCGTTTCGCGAAATTTTTGCTAAAAAAATTGTTTATTGAGGGGACTATTTAATATTTTAAGTTATTTTTTACATTTCAAATAATTTTAGTCATTTGTGATGTATGCCGGACCACGTACGGAGCAAGCTAGCATTGGGCCCCATAACGGCCGATCTTGAGGATTTGAGGGATCTGATATTTTCTGCTGATGAAGAGGTGGGAGTGGGATCACTTCGTCACCTTCATCTTCATCCTAGCGCTTTTTGTTTGCTTCTTCATGATTTTAAGTCCTTTGTAGTAACTATATTTTTCTTTATAACAGAGAACCCTATATCATCCTTTGCGATATTAAAGACAATATCATAAATTAATTCTTGGCAGCAATTTATTTGCAATGAAAATTCAATTATATATTGTCCAGAACTTTAATACAGTGAATTGGTTTTGAATTTTAATTTTAATTAATGGCGCGGGTACCAATACAGCGAATTGAGATATGGAAAAATAAGAACGAAACACAATTTTCGCTCTCACTGCCACTGGGCATATGCGACCAGCATCTTCGAAGTTCGAACATCGGGTTTCTTAGATTCTTTACATGGGAAATGCCTGTTTTAAGAAAACGCATTTCAAAATGAATACTTCTCTTTCTTTTCATGAACCGGGCACGCATTTTGGTACTCCCATTGTTCTAGATCCACCTAGTTGGAAGTCAGGATTAAGAGGGTAAAAAAAAAAAGTTACTTGCTTTTATTAAAATTACATTTAATTTTATATTTAAGTTTAAATATTTTTAATACCATGCTAGTGAGCGTAAGAGATTGAGTGAGAATAATAATAGGTGGTGGTGAAATCAGGGGCATGTTAGCATGTATGGCTAGATTAGGCTATAACTTCACTTGGTATGTGACCCTACAAAATTTAATTAGCGAGCACTAATTATTTCAAGGGAGGAAATAAAAATTGGTTAGCCAGGGAGTGTCACAGGAGGCGTGCCCTTCTAGTTGGGATTTATCTCCCCTCGCCCTTTTTCCAATTTGCCTTCAGTTGACTTTCTGTCTAGTCCTAATGTAAACAATATTGTTTAATTAGTAGCACCTCTTTTATGGCCAAAAAACAAAATATTTCAAGGGGAAAAAAAGGGCCCGTTTTGATGAACTCAGCACTGAAAAGAATGGCGATCCGGGTTGAGTTGGATTGGTTTTAACTGCTTGTTGGGTTTATGCATAGCCCTGATTTTAATTTTTACAATAAAAAATTAATCATATCATTCTTGTAATATTGATTAAATTATTGCTTGATTTTTAAATTTTAATTTATTATAATTTAATTTTTATAATTTTAATTCAATGGTAATTCATCAATTCTTAAATTTTAACATAGTATGACTTCGTTTCTATAATCACAACCATATAAAATATTATTTCATGTGCTAAAAAAATCATAAGTTTTCCCATAAATCCCTACTCTCTCTCCCTCCCTCCCTCTGATCTGAATTTTAAGGATTCAAATCATATAAATATTTAATATTTATATTAAATATAGTTATTGAATTCAAATTTAATAAATTACGTATGAAAGTTCGTAAATGTTTTTTGTAACAATGCATGAATAATTTTTAAAATATAAATTAGGTTATGTTTTAATTTTTTTAATTTATTTTTCTAGTGAAAAAAGTGCCCTTAACATGGCTCATATGAACTCTTTTTTTTTTTGCCAACAAAAAGTTAATTTTATTGATATAAAAAAATTACCTCACTTGAACTTTGATCTGACCACATTTTAAGAAAATCAATGTAGAAATGTTTCGACACTGAGCACGGGATTGAGGGAGTGCTCAACTCGGCTCTTCAAAAATTATAGTTATTGATTTTTACAGGATTTTGAAAATTTTCAAATCAAATTAGGATGCTGTAAATTGACTTGTCAGTGAGTTGGCCCAGTTAGAGCAAAGATCCCTACCGTAAGATGCAGATGTTGGAATGAGGGGAAAAGATAGAAAGAGTTTAAACGTGAATTTGATCATTAAAATAAAACGATAAAAGGGTTTAAGCCATGGCGTCACTTTTCTTATTTTTATTTAAAAGCCGGTCACCCGTGCCACTTATTGTCAGTCAATCAACCATCTGATCACTTGAACTTTAAATTTAATTAATTATTCTTAAATCAATTGACAATCAGCATACATTATATTTTTATTTTTTTTTTAAATTCAGTTATCACTAAACTTAAAAATAATTAATTATAATTTTTTTCAATATTTTTTATCTGGCTAAATCTAATCTTTTACGGTCAGGAGAGGGAGGAAAAAAAAAAGACAAAGAAAGGACAGAGAAGAGTCAGATTCAGATAGGCCGCGCTGACACGTGTCTTACCTCTCTTGTGCAGACGTTAATCAAAATCTCGGGGCAATCAGATTAGGGGTGAACAAAACTGAATCGAAATTGAAAATCGAATCGAATTGAATCAAATTTTATTTATTTGATTAGTTTATTTAATTTTTCGGTTCGATTCAGTTTTTTTATTTTAAATATTTTGATTGATCGGTTCAATTCGGTTAGTAAAATTTAAAATCAAATAGACCGAATCGACCGAATTACATATAATTTATTAATTTATTAATTATATTTAATTTATAAATTATTTTATTTTTATTTTTATTTTTTTATTTTAATAAAGAATAAAAAATAATAACATCACTTGAAACCTCATTTCAATCAGTCACTCTCATCAGTAGGTGTTGTGACTGGATTATGGAGTCATTATTTGATCATCGGTGTTTATTTGTGATTGTTTATTTAATTATCCATGCCTTTATAATATTTGGACTTTATGTCCATGGGTGTAATTAGAATGGGCTCATATTAAAAAAAGGAATAGAAAAAAAGGTCCAATTTTATAGTGTTATTTGTTTTAATATTTAAAAAATGGGCTCAATTTTAATAGCCAAATATGAAACTGAAAAACTGAATTAACTAACCGAATCGAATTATTAAATTTTGGTTCGGTCCTTATTAATTTGGTTGGCTTATTCAATTTGATTCGGTTTTTATTTTTAATGTTATTCGATCGATTGGTTTTATATATTTTGGGATCGAATCGAATCAATTCGATCGATACTCACCCCTAATCAGATACCGTGATCACATCTGATTTTCTGCATCTACGATACATGTTGTACATGACATCATTCCCCTTGTGGGTCCCTCTCAACCTCGCGCCTTCACATTTCACAGGTGGCAGCCATTTTATGACTTTTCAGTTAAATGCAGGGAAATTGATGAATGGTAAATGAATATAATTGACATTAATTCGGAAAGAAAAGTTAGCCCAAAAATACTGTTTGTTCTATCTTTTTATATAAAATATTTGTAATAAAATATCACGTATTAATCAATAAAAATTTATTATTTAATTAAAATTATATAAATTATAAATTTTTAAATTTTATTTTTAATAATGTCACAATTAATATCATGATAATAATAAATAAAACATAAAATTAATATTTTCTTCAGTTTTAAAATAACAGTAAAATTATATAATCACTTATCATGATACCTCTTATATGTTTGGGCAAAATAAGTTTGCATGAGGAAGATCTACAGTAGAGACATGTGCTTATTGTTGGGTCCATGGGGACATGGCTTAATTCAGGACAGCCAATGAATTGCGCAGAAAAAAAGCATTTGATTGGAAGCAACTTCACAGTGATATTATGATCACCCTAGCGTACTATACAGGGAAAAGGCAATGGAGAGGGTTTCATTTTCCAAATTCTCACCATTCATTAATTTTATAATTTAAATATGAACGGTGAAGATTAGGGAAAAGGACGAGGGGAAAATGGGGAAACCCCCTCGCCGGGCTGATCAGAACTGGTACACTAATGACTTTCCTGTGGCATACGAAGCTTCGATATGTGCGGTATGAGTCAGCTCCGATTCAGCTTTGACTTCCATCTTTCTCTATCCCTTCTGAATTTGAGTGTGATTGGTCACTTCTTTTGACGTTTTCTTAATGCTGTTTCCCACCTTTTTCTTTCCATCTTGATGCTTCAGGATAAGACCACCCTCCTCTAGTTCCTCCGCCTCATTATGATCCCTCGCAATTTATTTATTACGTGATATTATTCCAATAATGCCAGGGCTTCAAGTTGTTATTAGGTCCACAAATTAAAGTGTGTGTGTATATATGCATCTATATATCCTAAAGCTTTTGTTGTTTTGTGGCAGGAGCATATAACATATTTCTCTAATTAAATTGCTGTCTGCAGGTGTTTTGAATCTGATAACATAATTTACTACAGCAGACAAATAAAGAAGATGCCATTCTCTCTGTACTTTTTGGATAGTTCAAATCCTTGGTTTTTGCACTTATATAAGCAACAGCGGACGGCTTTCTGGTTCCAAGCATCGATCCTCGTATAGTGTCCGAGATGGACATCTACGTGCATAATCTTTACAGATTAATTGAAGGCTTGATTCGTTGCAAGTTGCAACTTCATGTGCACCACACTTTGCACATTTCGTGACGTCTATATATATATATATATATTCCACAAACGGTCCTTGAAACATGGGGCTGCGAATTCCATTTTCAATCAATGTTGCTGAATATATATATATTTATATATATAATCTAGTATAGCCGCAGAATCATGTGTTGGCTTTGCTTTTCTGTTTCAACTTTCAACGGTTTATAGTTACACATTGACTCCAATACCCCATCCTTCCCACTAGTTTGACGAATCATTCACTTTGCCTTTACAAATATCTATTTTTCTTCACAATATTACCATCTAGTGGCTTTCTCTATATGCATGCTATACATTCCCCATCGCTCGGTGGTTCGCAATAACACGAAATATTTAAATAGATCCGACCTGAGCTCTCACTTGTATTAATTAGTGCCTTTACATTTTCCCGTCAATCTACCGTTTTCTTTGATTTTCTTGTCAATGAATCCT